ACAACCGTGTAAAACAGTTCAACCTCAAAGTGATGTAGGTTTGTGATATCCGGAGCTTTGCGCCTTGACCGTCCTGGAAGAACATACACATCATGCATAATAGGAATGTGAATAGAATCTTTAGTGCAACTTGAAACTACATCATCAAGCAAAGACTCCCATCCATTGTCTCTCATCTCTTGTAATCTGGTCTTTGACACACGAACAAGTTTCATGGCATTTACAATGTCTTGATCTTTCCTTTGCAATGCTAGTGATAGCTCATTCGTTATCGCTAACACTTCAATCATCAACTTCAAAATGAAGACAAAGTTAAAATCTTGAAGTGTAATCGACATACGCCATGCATCAATAGCTGTATCTGTCTCAGAAGTAGGGTCATTCTGAATTGTATCCAACACATCAATAATAGCAGAGAACATGCTATCCAAATTGATAAGCGCCCCATAGTAAGAACCCCAACGAGTATCACCTGGTATTTTAAGAGCCATTTCTTGATTCAGTCCCCTTCCAGTCTCTCGTTCATTAGCAGCTACAGCCTCAGCAATCTTCTCAACTTGAGCATCCCGAATAAACTCAGATCGTTTTCAAGATGCTCCAATCAGATTCATCACACTATTGACAGTCTTGAAAAAATCACCAACTTCAAGATGATTCTTAGCTACAGCAACAAGAGCCAACTGAAGCTGATGTGCAAAACAATGAATGTAGTAATAAGCAGAAGAATTTTCAGCTAAGATCAAACTCTTCAACCCATTGATTTGTCCTTTCATGTTGCTAGCTCCATCATAGCCTTGTCCCCTTATTCTTGACATACTCAATCCATGTTTTGAAAGCATAGTTTCAATTTCACCCTTAAGTGTCAAGGCTTTGGTATTTGCCACATGAGTAGTACCAAGAAACCTCTCCATAACCAAACCCTGATCATTCGCATAGCGTAAAACAATGGCCATTTGTTCCTTGGTTGAAGCATCACGAGTCTCATCAACTAATATGCAAAAGAAGTTGTCTCCTATATCTTGAATGATTTTCTTGGTTGTTTCAGAAGCCATTGCATGAACAAGATCTTTCTGGATATCTAGGGAGGTCAATTGGAGATTTTTTGGAGCATTTCTCAAAACAACTCTTTCTACTTCTTCTCTACCACAAGCATGAAACTCCAATAGCTCAAGAAAGTTACCTTTGTTGCTTGAAGATGATGATTCATTGTGCCCACGAAAAACTAATCCACCCCGCATAAGAAACTTTATGCACTCAAGTGAAGTCATCAATCGAGTTCGATAATCTGTTTTGCTTTGATCTGATTGTTTAGATAAACTAGCTGCAATGCCTCGTGATTGCTTCAACAAAAGGTCTGCATTGCCTTTAGCTTTGTTGTGGAAGCTGTTATGCCTTCCCACATGATCAGCAAAACATTTCTTTCTATTCCACCCTTTGAAACCTTCACCAACAAAACCATCCTGTGGTCCACTTTTCTTACCAAACAAATAACAGTAGAGACAAAATGCTGCATCTTTCTCAATACTATATTCAAGCCAATTGTACTCTAGAAACCAAGATGAACGGAATCTTCGTTTCTTCCCACTAAAGTCACTATATGGAAAACGATGACCTTTAGGTTGGCACAGACCATTTTCAAGATAAAACCTTCTAACTTCATCTTGCACATCAGGATGAAAACTAGAAACTTTATCTCTTAATCCTGGATCCATTTTCAATGAATTCATATCAAACCGGCTTTCTTCATATTCAAAGGAAGACTCACTTTCACTTTCTTGAGATGAAGACTTACTTTGTAGTGAAGTTTGATTTATCGAAACCGATATATTTGATTGTCGAATCTCGGAAGGAACCACCACCGTTGAAGGAGGAAAAGTTTGGGCTTGTCTACTTCCACTTCCTTCCAAATCTTGGGCTGTAGTAAATGGGGAAGTCTTGTTCTTCTTTGGAAAGTAATACCTCTCCATTTGAAAGATCTAATTTGTCAAGAAAAACACACAATAAGCAACACAATTTCAGTTCTATTTACATGTCAACAAACACAACTATCATGAGTTACATCGGTGAACAACACAATATAATTTCAGGTTTCAATTTCACAGCTTACCTAGAACAAAATGGTGAAATAGAATGGAAGGATTGCCACCCAACGCTTGCTGCCGCTTGCCTGTGGACGATGACTTTTGCTGCTGCCGCAAGGAGGTGCTAAGGAGAACGAAAGGCAAAGGCTTAAGGGGAAAGTAAGAAGAAAGGCCAAAATGGTTGGGGTTGCCGGGTTGGATTGGTGATGGTCGCCAGAGGAGGAAAATCCCCTTTCCCCTGCCGCTGCAGAGGCCGAACTGCTGCTGTCGTCTCTCATCTGTCTTCTGCTGTGTGAAAATACGAAGAGGGTAAAGGGATTGGATTAGGTTTTTGTTTAATTGGGATTTCATTTAAGAACGAATATATGTATAATGTTTCCATTTATAATCAAACAATCGGATGTAGCGTAGCGGTAAAGCTACGTTGTGTGAGCTGAAGGTTCTGGGTTGGATACTTGTGTGGAACATATAGAGGTATTTTTTTTCAAGTCAAAAACGACCCCTGTCTTGTGACAGGGGCAAATGTGGCTGTCTCCGCCTCTGCCTTCACCTCCCCTCCTTTTCCTCCCTTCCTTCGGAAATATAGTGTTAGAGTGACGATTTTTTATGTGTAATGCTATTACATTCATTGTTGAGAATAATGTCTAGCCAGTAGTCATAAGTGATCGGATAAATCAGTAAACGATTGACCAAAAAGTAACTTTCAACGATGTGAAATGGCTATAATAATAATGTTCGCTGCATTACCGATTAAGTCTATTCCAAACGCACTTGGTTGTGAATGTGCGATCTATAGAGCTCATGACTATCATGCATGTGGAAAATTCTAGCCGATCGAACCTGGTTCAATTGGTGCTAGTCATGAAGTCAACATGGGGGTATTTTTTTCCCAAGTAAAAAACAACCCCTGTCTTGTGACAGGGGCAAATGTGGCTGCCTCCGCCTCTGCCTTCACCTCCCCTCCTTTTCCTCCCTTCCTTCGGAAACATAGTGTTAGAGTGACGATTTTTTATGTGTAATGCTATTACATTCATTGTTGAGAATAGTGTCTAGCCAGTAGTCATAATTGATCGGATAAAGCAGTAAACGATTGACCAAAAAGTAACTTTCAACGATGTGAAATGGCTATAATAATAATGTTCGCTGCATTATCGATTAAGTCTATTCCAAACGCACTTGGTTGTGAATGTGCGATCTATAGAGCTCATGGCTATCATGCATATGGAAAATTCTAGCCGATCGAACCTGGTTCAATTGGTGCTAGTCATGAAGTCAACATGAATACCATCGACATGATCAATTTTTAGCTTATAAATAAATAAAAGGGCTAATACCAATTGAGAAACCCAAACTATCAAGAAAATGTTTCTTGTGTCCCGAACTATTCAGTATGACATTTATGTCATGAACTTTTTCCCCCCATAGTATTGACCGAGTTTGACCGTCAATTGTTAACAGAAAATTCAGTCATTGTTGACGTGGCATCTGATATGGAATTTTAAATATTAATTTTTATTTATATTTTCATCTAAAATGATTAAAATAAAATAAAAAATAATAAAAAGTTTAAAAATTCCCAAATCGTCATAATTGCTCATTTGATTCTCCTCCTAAGTGAAAATCAAGATGACCACTCTTTGGTCAACCGTTATCTATGACGATTAGCGAAATCGACAAGACATAAATGACACACAACTATCTTATGTTGGGACATAAATGAAATATTTAATAGTTCGAGACACAAATGACACTTTCTTGATAGTTCTGGTTTTCCAGTGGTATTAGCCCTAAATAAAATTACATAATTTTAGTGAATTTAATTAATAAAACTTAATTTTTTATTTCACTAACTTAAAAGTTAAATATTGATATTATTTGTTGGATTTAAGTATAAAAGTTGGGTTTGACGTTAAATATTTTATTTAAATATAAGTATTTATTATTTTGTTTGGAATGTTGTACTTTATTTAAATATGAATATAGATTGTAAGTAATTTTCTTCAAATATGTTTTACATATTGCTTAAATTCACTTGAAGTTAGTCATTTTTTTATTTCTACATATTATATTTAATCGTCATGAATCGACACAAATCGATTATACCAACGACAAAATCATATAACTTACTAAACCGGCGTAACTTCATAAACTGGTTTGACAAGCTCGTTAGTATCATGTGGAACGCAGCGCAGGAGTATCCTCTCAAGTCTCAACTGTACGTGGGCACCGGGCAGTGCCCCCCACGGGCTAGCACGACACGGCACGGTTAGAGCACGGAACGACCACGGGCACGAAATAAATGGGCCAGCCCGGCACGAGCACGGATAATTTATGGGCCGTGCCGAGCCTAAACTTCATGGGCACAAGCACGGGCACGACACAGTATATAAGTGGGCCGTGTCGGGCCTAATATTTTCGAGACTTTATTGAGTATAAGAACGGACATGGCACGAAAATAATATTTATTTGATAGAAAATAAATATAAAAAGAATTATAGGTTCAAATATTACAAAACACAAGTAGCAAAATAATTATTTGTTGTTGTTAGAAGTGTCATAAAGATATATACGTAATTACTAACATAAGTAAAAATGAACAAAGAATTAAACAAAGCCAAATCACACTCGCTATACTTCCAATTTTCTTTTCCCCCTTATTTATTACTTTACTCAAACATTATCGGTTAATACTATCTTCCTCCGTCCAATTTTCACCTTTTTCGTTCTCTCTTTTGTTTTCGTCATTTTCATTAAACACGAATACGAGCATGGCACGAGCACGAATAGGCACGGCACTATTGCCTGGGCCGGACCTAGCAAAATTAACAAATGGACTTGCATTGCACGACACGAGAATTGACGGGCCATGCCAAACACGGCAGGAAATAAATGGTTCGAAGGTGCCCGTGCCGGCCCAAGCACGGCGCAGCCCAGTCTCAACTCAAGAGTTGGGATAAGGTCATATCGGACTACTGCCTGCGTCTTCTATCCATTTCCCCTCTCTTTCGTCTCTCCCAGTCCCAACTCTTCTTCTTGCTGCTAAGTGCTAACACCCTCTTCCCGATTCTCCAAAATCTCGCCCTTCCCATTTGAATGAAACAGAAATCCCTCCACTGAAATCAGAGATGCCAATCACAGCTCCAACATCTCTCGCCCATGGCGGCTGCCGCTACTACCACCACAGCTCTCCCACTACCACGCCGTCGCTTCCCCTTGCTAAATTCTCTTCCCTCTCTTTGAAGTGCAATTTCCTCTCCAAAACCCCGCTAATATCCCACCCGGCGACGACCCAATTCCATCTCCCCATCACCTCCACCAGGAACAGGAAATTGGGCCTCTCCGTCGTAGCAATGAGCTTCGACGCCGGCGTGGGCGTGATGGGGACCAAGCTCGGAATGATGAGTTTCTTCGAGCCCGACGGCGTGGTGGTTCCGGTCACGGTGGTCGGGTTCCGAGAAGGCAACATTGTGACCCAGATTAAGACCGATTCGACCGACGGGTATGATGCGGTTCAGGTGGGTTATCGTAGGGTTAGGGATAGGAAGCTGACGAAACCTGAGATGGGTCATTTGGAGAAGGCTGGGGTTATACCCATGAGGCATTTGCAGGAGTTTAGGCTGCAGACTATTGATGGGTTTGAAGTTGGGCAGAAGTTGACTTTCGAGGAGCTCTTTAAGGAAGGGGATTTCGTTGATGTCTCTGGAATCACCATTGGCAAAGGGTTTCAAGGTTTGCTTTCCTTTCTTTTCATATCTTTTTGCTGCTTGAAAGTTACATTTTGGGTTGGCTTTCCCTTGCTTGTTAGCGATAATTGAAGTATTCAAATAGTCTAGTCTTGTGAGTGGTAGTTTTCCACTGGACTTATTAGTTGGCAAGGATTTGGATTCTTAGTGAGTGATAGCTTAGTGCTTGTTGAACCGAGTTATGATTAGAATAGTTTAGTTCCTCTCTTGTTAAAGAACCTTTGCCATCACATTTGCCTATGGGGCAATGAATTTCAGACGTATTTCAGATCAGTCTGTTCATTCTTAACTTCAATTGGCAGTAAATTCTGCGCACCAACCGCTACATATTGTAGAGATTTTGTAGCTTAGATTCGTACTACTGCCCGTAAACCTTAGTTTGCCCTTGGACATTAGAGTTCCCTTCCGGGCGCGATGTTTTATCAACTGTAAGCATATAACTTGACCATGCATGCCATTGGTATTTGGTAGGCTGCAACTGAAACCTCTCTATGCAGTTGAAGAAAAAGGAATAGTAATCTACTGCACAATATTTCCCCAGGCCAGTAGATTGGTAAAAACTAAATCACCCGTTCCAGGGTGGATAAAAAAAAGGGGAAATAAAAAACAATGCCGACATCCATTTTTGTGTTCTTCCAGAAATTCAGTTTTAGGCTGCATTTTTCTATCATGAAACCTTTGTCTTCGTTGTTAGAATGTGTGGTTTTCATTCTTGATGATAGTTCAATCCTTATCTTGTTACCAGGTGGTATCAAGAGACACAACTTCAAGAGAGGACTGATGACTCATGGTTCCAAGAGTCACAGAGCTCTGGGGTCCATTGGTGCTGGAACTACACCAGGTCGAGTGTACAAAGGGAAGAAGATGCCTGGCAGGATGGGAGGAACCAAGACCAAGATCAGAAAGCTCAAGGTGGTCAAAGTTGACAGCGATCTCGGGGTAGTGATGATCAAAGGTGCCCTGCCGGGTAAGCCTGGCAATCTTCTGCGCTTCGCTCCTGCTAAGATAGTTGGCAAGAACATACCCAAGAACTAGCCAGCCATCTCCCTCTCTCTCTGGTGTCACTCAACTGTAGTAGTCGCAATTTTTGTATCATGTAAAAGTCATCATTGTGTTTTGACATTGTTCATCCTTGGACAGTTTTTAGCCTGATGGTCGCTGCCTATGTCGAGTATTGTCCATGGCTAATGCAAAATTGCATATGATGCTGTAGTTCTGTTATGTGCGTCCGCAAATAGTTGAGTAAGAGGTAGCGGTGCGACGATATGGACAGTCGTCACACGGCAAGCAAATGCATAGTTTGGGAAACCGGCCTAATTGCCTAAAACTTTCGGATCTCCAGTAGGATTGCTCTAAAACATGAGCATCTGCCTGGTATAACAAATGATATGATGTAGTATATAGTAAGCAAATAATAAAATTAATAAAATTATTATTGAATTATGGATCTCTAGATATACCTTATTTTGGCTTAAGTTTCGTTATCTAGTCAACCTAGAATAGTGATTAAGAAACTAATTTAGCTAAACTAACCTAACAACTAACCTAGCTAATTGCAAGCTGTGGAGTTCTCCTAGCTTGAATCCCCCTAGATTCTCATATAGATCGATGTTGATTACTTCCCTAGATCGATTTAATCAATACCTCTACTGTTAGGAGATCGACTCCCTCAGAAATTGACCCGGAATGATGTAGTGATGATTTGTTAGTGCTATATTCAACCTAGGGAAATCATATGCCGTCAAGAGATAGATCGAATAAACTCCCTCGAGAATTAACTTGGAATGACATAGATTGAGGAGTGACCCTAATTGTCAAGAATGGGCCAAAAGGAGATTGTCTCCCTCCTAGGTCAAAAAGTCCCAAATTGAGGGTTGGAATCCAAATCCATCAATTGCATGAAAATTACTCAATTCAATAAATGAAAGAGACGCTCAGTCATAAGGTTGTCACAAGCATCAACATTCAACACATAATCAACAACCATGGTTCATCAACCTAAGAGAAGAGAGCTAAATCATAGAGAGGAGAGATATTATAACAAGAAGTTCAAACTTTATCAATGCCTCCAATTAAGCTTCAAGATCACTCAAGATCCCTCTCTCTATAGAAATGCCTCTTTGGTGTTTTGGGCTAGAACCCTAAAGGAAAAACCAAGCTCTCCTGCTTCCCGTAGCTACCTTTTTATATGCTCGATAGTGCATACTTCACGGTCACTCTTCACGGCTGTGATATTAGCAAGAAAACGGTGATCTCAACTGAAAATGCATCGTTCTTTTGCGCACATAACGGTTTTATTATTATCACGGTATGGGATCATGACCTTGCAATGCCCGCGAGCTGTACGAAGCCTCCTGGAAAATTGCACACTTCACGGTTTTGGTGTGATTTTCACTCCCTCAGGGCGTGATAGCCCATGATCCTTGACCTCCGAATGTCCGGAAACTTGTCCCCGATCTTCCCACAAGTACTAGATACTGAAATGTTACAAAAGAAGTACAACCTAGCATAAAGTAGGTCGAGGGACGACGATTACCAACCTAAACAATGATAAGATTAAGTGGGAGATCATGTATAAATGTGTCCGAATCAGGATTGATTGAATTTTGGTTGATATGGACCTTCCCGCATATAATCTGAATCACTATGAGTGGGCGATTGATGTGAGTGGAGTGTAGGTTGGTAAGTCTCCTACATGTACTTATTCGGGGTACGTGGTGTCTGAATCCTGGATTACTCAAATGGCTTGAATTCCAAATTCACATGAAAAATGATTTTTTTTAATACAATCAAATGACTATCATATTTTATACCCACGTTACAAATTGACCATTGAAAGACGGAAAATAAATAATATATTTGGACTACTATTGTTAATTACTATGTTGTGCAATGTCCATTGGATATTGAATTGCAAATTTCAAACAATTAATTTTATAAAGTCGCAAAAAAAAAAACAATTTGCTCTACAATTGGTCGATGAACTAGTGAAAGATTTTATACCTCTACCAAAGAAGTGAATCCACATGCACAAAGAGCCTTTTTCTATAAGGATATGTGGTTAGTGACTTTTTTTTTATATCAATGAATACTTCATTTAAAGTGGTCAAATAAAAAGTTTGTATGATTAATATAAATGTTTGCACGTCACAATTATTAATCGGATTCACAGGAGACAAAGCAGGAGGAATCTAAATTGTACACTCCTACTTATTTGGGAGAAATTTATTGTAAATAATAGTCTCTCTAACGGCTAGTTGAGAATTGCTTTTGTGTGTTAACCCACAACCCAACCGCATACACCACCCACCAACCCAACCTTAAAGAATATTGTGGGTAGATAACGAATATCAGTTGTACCGACTTGTTAATAATGGGTGGGTCAGATGTAGCCTCAACTAACATATATTAATTATCATAGAGTTTGACATTCCCAAAAAAATGTTTGGTTTTTGAAAGAAAAAGTCAATATATTCATGGAGTGAGCAATCAAATTAGGGACAAAACTTTATGGATGATGTTATAATTAATGGATCTATATGTTCATCACACGAGTAGTTGGCTTGAAGAGGGCAATAGACAAGTTTTTTCTATAGACATGTTTTAAATAGGCGAAGAAGGAACACAATTATTGATAGAAACCTGGATATCAGGTTCTATTAGATTAACTAGGGGTTTGGAGAAACGGGGTCAATCACCGAGGTAGTGATCGACTTTAGTAGGATTAAAGGAAGAAGAAGAGTTGAAGAATGGAAGAGAAGAGGAAAGGAAGGCTGCGACGGCAACAGAGAAGGAGAAGAGAGGGATCAGCTAGAGTGAGGAAAAGAGAGGGAGATTAGGCAACGTAATTAGGTTTAATTTTCTGCTTAACCTTGACCTAGCTCTCTAAAATGGTTTATATACTAAACCACAATTTCTACTAACAACCCCAACTTATTACTCCCTCCCAATAATTCCGAAATGTTCCAACAAATCACACAACAATAATAATTTAACATACAAGTTCAAATGCAGAAAGAACGTAAATCACGGTTTCTATCATCCCCGCCTTCTTCGGAACAACCTTGACCCCAAGGTTGCAAGTCGGTCGCTCGTCCGTTCGTCCCAAACTCCGCCACCTCGTCCTCGGCCTCATCCTCCCAGCGCCCCACCAACATCATTAATTCGGGCCTCCAACACTTGTGTCCTATAGTGAACCGTTCATCGCAGTTGAAGCACTTTCCTTCTCGACTTTTCTGCTCGATCTCCGCTGGACTCAGTCTGACAAAACCCTTAGGTGGGGTCTTTGGTCCTGGCCGACCCCTTGACGATGAACCTCCGGATGCAGCGCCAGCTCCACTACCAACGAGCTGAGGGTGTTACCCCCTCCATTGCTAGCGGTACTCACGATGTTCCCACCTCCTGACCGGGGATAGCGGCCTATAACGCTCCTCCAGCTCGCCATCCTTCCTCCTTGTGTCCTGCAAGACGAAAAGCAGCCCTCAGAGTATTTGACTCAAAGATCTTGACCGCTGCCGCGATCTCCGGCTTCAAGCCAGCCATGCATAACCCCATCAAGGTTTCCTCCGGGACCCCCTTGCATTGGTTCCCCAGCTTGAAGAACTCCGTTCGAAACTCCACTACGGACCCGGTCTGACGGAGCTTGGCCAGCTGCTCTGGAGCCCAACCCTCGGATTTACCAAACTGGTAACAAAGCTCTTCCTGGAATAGCGGCCAAGTGATCAGTGTCCCAGCAGCGGCACACGACCTCTCCAACCACTCCCACCAATGTAGCGCGTCACCCTATAAGTAGAAAGAGGCCAGGTGCGCCTTGCTCTCCTCTCGAGTCGGGTGATTCTTGAACCATCGCTCAACAACGTATAACCAGACCCTGACGTCCTCCTGACCATTGAATTTCGGAAATTCGATGGTCGGGGGGTTTGGCTCGGAACACCAACCCATACTCATCTTCATGAAAGCGGTTGTAACCGCCGTACCTGCCACCACCAGCTGACCTTCCTGGATAACCTCGATAGTCCGGCATCTCTCTCGATTGGACCCAGCCATAACCATCATCCTCGGGATAGTGCTCGTACCCAGGCGGCCCATCATCCCCCCTGATGTAACGAACTGAGGCACCATGGTACCTGAGGGCCCCGCCCTTCCTCTCCCTAGGCCGACGACCCTGCTGCCCTCATCGGTTCGTAGAGGCGCGTTTTGGCTGGGGTCGATTCTGGTTCGACCGTGAATGGTCCACCCGGTGTCGGTCCGACCAGTTCATGGCTCCCCGATCGGCTTCCTCCGATCGCCCAACCCCGCTCGGCCGATTAGCCCGACCCAGCTCGCAACCCTCGGGACTTGGCTCCGAACCCAACCACCCGAGCCCATTGGGCTCTCCGGTTCTCCTTGGACCTTCGATATGATCTCTTGAGCTCAGTGGCCCATAATCCCACTCACGGTCCACATTCTCATACCCCGACAGTTTTCCCTTTATGCGAATCGCGGTGATCTCTTGCGTCGCCGTCGAAGTCGGCAGTAGGCCCCCGGCTTCCCTGGGCCCGCTCATCGTCTGACTCGGTTGCGCCTGGAGAGCACGGCTTCGGCCAGATGCCGCCGCCATCGCACCTTCCGCCGCCTCCTGGCTCCTCGGCGGTGCGGCATCCCCTGCTGGTAGCGGCTAGGCGACGCTTCTCCCCCCACTCCAGTTGCCGTCTCCTTCGGCCTAGTCGGCGCTTCCTCCTCATCCTCCTCAGCCTCGGACAGCCCTAGGAAGACGACGATCTTCTATTGCTGCACCTGGACCCCCAGCAGGATCCTCATCATCGCATCTCTCTCATCTTTGGCCGCGGAGGCCGTGACCTGCAGCTCGAACTGTGCCTCTGCCTGGTTACGGAATGATGCCTTGAGAGCCTCGTTGTCCGTCAATTCTTCCATCTCGCCGTCTCGCGGTGGCTCCTCCTGCGGTGTGGAAACCGTTGGCCTGGCCTTCTTTGCTCCTCCTGCAGTGGTGGTCTTTGATACTGCTTCACCCGCCTTTTCCAACGCAGCCTTCTCTGCCTTCTCTGCAGCTGTCATAGACTTGTTATGCACCATGGTTACGTTGATTGGCCTCCTCGTTCTAGATCAGTAACAGGGCTCTGGTACCAAATGATAGAAACCTGGATATCAGGTTCTATCAGATTAACTAGGGGTTTGGAGAAATCGGGTCAATCACCGAGGTAGTGATCGACTTTAGTAGGATTAAAGGAAGAAGAAGAGTTGAAGAATGGAAGAGAAGAGGAAAGGAAGGATGCGGCGGTAGCAGAGAAGGAGAAGAGAGGGATTGACTAGAGTGAGGAAAAGAGAGGGAGATTAGGCAATGAAATTAGGTTTAATCTTTTGCTTAACCTTGACCTAGCTCTCTAAAATGGTTTATATACTAAACCACAATTTCTACTAATTACC